CGCCCGCTACAATTTTAGAAACCAAAACTCCTCCAGTTGACATGGATGTCGTGCTGTTTAAACTCAAAAAGGGGAACTTGTCCAAAATTTCGTCCAAGATCAAGTTATCGGGTATAGGAGCAGTCGGCAGTCTTCCTGTTCGCCCAGAAAGCACTGGGCTAATTGAAAATTCCACCAACTCTGAAGCTGGACCGAAATCGATCAATGAAATTCTGGCAGATTTGAAAGAAAAGCGAAATAATGCTGACGGGTCGTCGTCTGGTAATAATCCGACACTTTCCGACGCCCCCTCTGAATCCCGGAAGTCGGAAGTGATCGTCACGCCGGAAGGTGTCACGGTCGACGGGAATTCGACGATTTCTAACTCGAATACAAGTTCGGTTCGTGAAGAAAAACATGCCGAAGTTCCTCACACCAAGGTTGGAAATATTCTTTTATTATTTCTAGATAAAACTACGCCTGAAATTAAAACACAAATTTAGGCAACTTCGCTGCCTTTCTGAAAGGATGACAGTTCGATGTATCGGTAGAATTTTTTAAATGTAGTATGTAAAAAATTTCGGCAGAATTTTCTGTTGTTCATATGTATATCATCAGCTTTTCGGGGTTTTTGACCTCGTTTATTGCTTGCGAGTTCGAGATTTTTCTGCGGAAAATTATTGCGTCATGACGTCACAGGTCTTTTGAATTCCCACAGGAAAAAAATTTTGAGCCACGGATTCGCGAAATAACGTGTCTTGAACAGGAAATATGCGAGAATTTTCTAGCTTTCTTTTTGCGAATCGATTCATTCAGAAAATTCAAAAATATACTGCAATGTTAGGCTATTCAAGACAACTTTAAATTAAAATTAACAGCGTCGTTATTTGAATGAGGTCGCTTTTCATCAGTCTTCATTCACGCAGAAAATCAGAATAAAGCAATAAACCGTCATTAAAATATATACGTACTGTACTGTATTTTATTTTTTACCTTTCAGTATTCGTTTGAACTTTGATAAGTCTGGCAATGCATACAATTATAAAAGATGCAACGATTTCACGAGGAATTATTTAAATGCGTAGTTGATTTGGTTTACTTCGATCAGCTTATTCCTGTTATTATGTAATTAAATCAGATTTCCTAATTCTAGTTCTTATGTCAATACTTGAATGGATGAATAAAATTTTTACTGGGTTGTAAATTTAATGACTATTTGTTCGTTTGATCCCCTGAAATTTTGAATTTTTGGATAATTATTGGTGCTGACATGTGATCCTGCAATAANAAGTTATTTCTCTGTGACTGAACGCAAACGGAAAATGGCAATGTTGTGACATATATGCGAGGACTTTCGACTTGCGACGTGGGCATGATTTCGCCAAGTTTTTATTTTCTACGATGAGTCGTTGGTTTGGCTCGTGAGCGATTAAATTGAATTTTGAATGTTGCAAATTCCAATGTTTTTGAACACACAAGCGAACTTTTTAACGAAATTTTCCAAATGCATTGTACTAGCATAAAAATTTTTAAAGCAGAAAAAATCGATTTCATCACGCTGCGCTATTTTTCGTTTTTTTTTAAAACTAAATTTCAGGCATCCGATGAAGTTTGCTCAGCATACGTTGCAGAAAAAATGAATTATTTTTGCCGGTTTTTCGTTTTCAAATCAAGAAATTATCTCTTGAAGAATTCTTCTTTTCTTAGAGCTACTAGTTCCGGTTTATTTCCGAAGAAAAAGTGTTCTTTTCAAGCTGTTGAAATTGTTTTTACTCAGGTCTGCGGTCAAACTTGCATCTGGAATTGTTTCAGAACAAGTAATTCTTTGTGATTCGTGAGCGAGAAAATTTCATTTTTTTTAATGTAACGGCTTTTATACATTTTTTCGGAGTAACTTGTTTCAGTTTGACGCAGTGAATTGTTCACATTTTTTTACAAGGCTGATCTCATAAAAGCTGTAACTCCTGGACGAGGAATTATCAGTGCACTCCGAATGTTCTGTTGTGTCGGAGCTTTGGAAAATTTCGTAAATTTTGTGGAGATTTGGCAGTTTTACGTTCCATTTTGTGATACTTTCGTATTTCCGCTGTTGTCATGGATTTTTCTTTTACTTATAGGTGTTGTGAAGTGTTTTTGATCTCCGAGCTCGGTGTAACAAGTGGGAAAACTTTTTTAAAATGGAAAAGGTCATGTTTCTTGCGATGGTTCTTTTGGCGGTTTGTGCCGTAAATTGCGGAGCTGCTTCTCTCCGTAGCGCTGCGGGCAATTCTTCGGATGAGATTTCGGCGAATTCATCCAAGACTGCTGAAACGAAAAATGGCACGGATATTCCGTTTGTGGTTGAGTCGAAGAATGCCACAGAGGAGAGCAGCAATGCCACGAAATCTGCATCGGAGATGATGGGAAAGGAGGAAGATTCGCCGGTTGGGGTTGCAGGTAAACTTGTAGTTGATCGAAGAATCAGAATTTCCTTCTCGAATTTTCATCATGCCATGTAGTTGATTTTTTGGTTGAAAAAGTTGTGATCCTTACAGAAGTTTCCGCTCGTGTACCGGCTCCTGAACCCGAACCAGAGGCGGAACCTGAACCAGAACCCAGCCATCACGATGAATCTGACGAACACCATGACCACGACGATGACGATCATCATGATCATGGCCACAAAGGGGCAGATCATGACGACGATGATGACGATGACGACCATTACAATAAGAAAGACAAGCATTGATTTTTCCATGTCCAAATCGACTTGAGCTTTGGGAAGAGTTTTTGAGAAATAAGGTATCCAGAGTTCCATTTTTTTTCTATGCTTTGTGTTGCTGGCGTTAAAATCGGGATTTTACAATGGACGCGTTATTACTTTCATGATCAACATTTTTTCAATGCGGTGTGTCTATAAGATTTTGCAATGGAAATACAGATTTCTCACAACCAAACCGATATGATTGTATTTTCTGATGGAAATCCTTCATCCTTGCCTCTTAACTGACTTCTTCTTCCTTGAAGTGTCCTTTTCACGATTTGTCCGTTCGCCGTTTCCCCAACTTTTCTTGTGGAACTTCATCGTTTCCCATCGCTGATAACGCTTCTTTTGAAATAATTTGACGCGAGGAAGTGGTAATGCTTTTGTCCTTTTTTTTTAATTTCTCGGCGCTTCCAAGAATAATAATTCACGTATTGTTTTTGAAGTACGGTACTTCTAGGGATTCTTTGTGCTTACTTCGCACTATATCCGGAATATATGAAAGGTTAACCCCGTTTAATTTTAATGATGGAAAATTTAACGATCTATTGTTGCATGCTGATCGTCGTGCTACCGATTCCGATGAATATTTTCTCCTTGATCCTGTACGCTCTAGCGGTTTTGCTTTACCTGCTGCTAAGAAATTCCAGGTGATTCCGTGAAGCACGAATTCTGCGAACTTTTTAAATGCCAAGTGCAACAGTAATTGCTGTTTTATCGAATTACAGGAGCCTTTCTGCGGTTTTGCTTTCTCGAGTACAGAAACCCTTGCGATGGGGTTGATTATTCCGCATTGCGTCGAATAAAACGTGATTTTTGTAATCCTTCCATACTGTATTCTGATTCTTCGATCTTGTTCTCTCTCTTTACTTAAAAGACCTGTCGCGTTTCCGGGATTCTATCTCTTAAAAGATTGTGATATTTTGACACTGGAGTGGATAACTGATAACTCACATTTTATCGTAGGAACGACATCTAGTGCAAAATATTCAAAGCGGGAATAAAGGACTACTCCATGATGTCGCTGTTATACCTCATTTCTTCGATGGATTTCATCAAATGTCTCAATGTAATGTGCAGTAAGAAATGGCATGTGAAATATCTTCAGGTACTGAAATTGCTGTGGGTTGCTGATAATTTTGCTAATACATAAATTCCTCGGTGCTTTCATCCATATTGTACCTACACTGCTGTTCAATATTTTCCTTTACGTATTCACTCAACATTTAAAACCCAAAATTCTCATATGAATGGTGAAGCGTTTCTTTTTATTAAATTAACGCACGAATCGGATATTTAACTGTACTGCTTTCGGTTTGTTCCCGACTGCTGTTTTCATATAGAACAACAACCGGGTGTGCATTTTTTTTTACATTGGAAGGAAACGTTAAATAACTGAAGCCGAACATATTCCTCCTGTTTCTCTGTTGTTTTCTTTAAGTTCTTCAGGATTTTCGAAATTTTTACAATTGGGATGCTTCCACAATTGAGAGTTTTTGGTCTGAGAATCCTTCTGGCAATCTTACGAGTTTTCTCTTTCAAC